AAGTAACGACTAAAATGGTCGCCAATGCGAGTAAATTTATTCACTCAATGAAATTCTGTGGGCGACCAGTACATTCCTACTGAGATTAAGGTTTTGCATAGTTTGAACGCTTGGTGGCGCTTATTTACCCATAATCCATTGCGCACACATGCGCATGTGTCTATGTACGTCCATAATGGTTGTTTTGAAATGAAACGTCGGACAATTGAGTCGTTTTTAGTAACGCATCAAAGCGTCGGTGTAGAGTGCCAGATGATGCCACAGACACAGGGGAAGTTGTCGAGTGCCAGGCATCTGATCAAATTCGAGAAGAAACTGGAAAAACAAGTAGAAAATTCCAGAAGGATTGGTTAAAACAATTTTCATGGCTTGTATTTGACAGCGAGAAAGGTACAATGACTTGCATGTTTTGCAGTAAATTTCCCGAAAAGGCAGGTAGTACCGATTTTATTAAAGGGTGTACTAACTTCAAGAAAGAAACCATAAGTATTCATGGCAAAAGTATGAAACATCGCATTTGCCATGACGCGTCATTAAACAGACAGTGTGATACCGTAAAAAAATCATTTGAAAAACAGCAGTCTGTCAACAGCGAGAAGATTACGGAAGATTTATTTGTGAAAATAAATACTGCTTATTGTATAGCCAAGTCAGAATTGCCGTTCACAAAATTTAGACCACTCCTGGAATTACAGAAGAAAATGGTATTTGCATGAGCCAGACCTATGCAAATGACGTCAAATGTGCAGAAATGGCAGCGACTATAACCTTTGTGATGAAAGGGGATGTAGGATTGAAAGTTAAAGCCAGCAAATATATCAGTGTGATGGATGATGGTGCTACTGACACGTCTGTTAGAGAAAATGAGGCTGTGATTGTCAGATTTGTTGAGGGAGGATTGCCAGTAAACAAAATGCATGGGTTACTAGAACTTGAACATGCCCATGCTGATGGTGAGTATACTGTAAAGTTTATTTAATTTACTTTTGCTAATAAAATTAGTGAACACAATTTAAGCTAATCTATTATATATATATGTAATCAAATTATGTTTTTTTTTGTTTATGATCCAGGGCTGGTCCAGTATTAATAAACTGCTGTCAGCTTATTTAAAATTAAAGAAAACTGTAATGCATGCTTGTTGCTGTTGTTGTTTGTAAGTAAAGTTTTAAAACTTTTATTTTATTTTGATGAGTTCCTTTAATATCATGTTAATTAATATAATTTATTGTTAATATAGTGGACAGTCAGTACATTTGATTGGAATTGCATTTTGTTGATTATTTCATAATTTATTTTCAGGAATAATTGCAGCAATCAGTAAATCATTTGAATCTGTAAATTATAACAACTTTAAAGAAAGACTGGTTGGTTTCTGTGCTGATGGAGCATCAGTTAATATGGGAGAAAAAAGAGGTGTAAAAGCAAAGTTAACCCAGTCATGTTCATAGTTAATTACTATACACTGTATGCCTCACAGGTATATTATATTATTTTTTTAAATTAAACAACTAGCAAAAGTAGATTACGGATGTATGGTGGCAGGAGTTAATTGTTTATAACATGCTCCATTAAAGA